TCGCCTATATTTTTTTTATAATATCAAGAGTCGGGACGAACAAGATCCAAGATGGTGGTAAACTACACGCCTGTCCATAACAGTTGCAGTGCCACTCAGGCTTTAAATTGTGGAGATCTGACTGCCCGTCACCCCGAGACATAAGTTGACAAGGCTCATGTGCCTGTAAAAGTCTCATGTGAACACAGTAATGCTGACATAACTGCTTGGCGGCAGAAATAGGTAAGGTGGCAGTACTATCCTGGACGAACTTCACAAGGAGCTCTATTTCTACTAAAACATACATATTTGGGTCAAAATTAAACTAAGTTTTAATGTAACCTAATATTTAATAATCTTTACTACTATATAAAAATAAATAATAAATATATATACAACACTTTCCATTAGGTAAGGTGGAGTTCAACTGCACTCTTATTTTTTAATATAAAAAAGAAACTCAACTTTGTGCACTGTACTTTGTATGGTATTTATTGCTCACGACGATATAATCGCTCGATGTCGTGAACATCAAACCGTGTCGAAACATGTTTATCCTAAATAATATTGTGTGTACACCCTTAACTTCTTCATTAAATCGGTGGTCCATTATTTTGAGTGTTTATTAGGTCGAACGTTCATTAATACAAAATGATAGAAAACGTCACACATTTTATCAGTACTTGTAGTTAAACCAAGGGCAAAAAAGGTTCTATTGTTGGTGACTTATATTATATATATATGATACAATACGTAGTTACTAAATTTAAAATAATTCTCTGATACATAATTATAATATGTACGTATTTTTTTATTCAATTCAGATATTAATTGTTTTGATCACAATTTTGCATAAAGAGCGATTACAGACATTCCAATAATTTGCGTATATTAGAATTTGAAAATGGTTACATACTAATGACGGTGGCTTGTTTTGCAATTTCATCGGATGTGGATAGAAAAGATGAAAGAAGAGAGAAGAAAATCAGCAAAAGGTGAATAGTGGGCAGAGTAGCTTCTTCATCTGAAGATGTTAAAATCTCTGCTGTATTCATTTTGCAGGTTTTAAACTTATCTGTAAATATATAAACGAATATAAACCATGTTATTTTAAAGTAGAAACATTTACCATTGAATAATACAAGCGTATATATTTTTGGATGCGAATGGCGCAAGTTCCAAAATATTGGCGCAATAAAGAAGAGACCTATGCCCAGCATTGGGTCGATGTTGGCTGACCATGATGATGATAATATATTTTTAACATTAATAGTAAAGTTAATGCGTCACATAATATAATTTGTCAAACATGCTCGGAAATGTTTGCATTACTTTCAAAAAACGAACACGGAAAGTTTGTCATTTACCGACCTTGCGACTTCTTGCCGGCCAAGGCCTGCAAAGTAAGCATGAAAATCCGTTTCTGTTCACTTGTCTAAGCTTTTTACTCTCTAACTTTTAATTCCACATACTGTAATGCACTAAGTAAACAGGCAAAAGAAAAACTCATACGGCCAACTGCCCAGTGTTCATAGTTACGAGAATTAAAAATACCTACATCGCCTATGTTATTCTTTTTACGGTAGCCTAATAGGTTCTTGAGCTTCAAGTGTTTATAGTATACGTGCCTTATCGCCGCCCGTAATGTACACAATAACAAAATGTACCAACTGATTAGAAAAGTGACAGGTATCAAATGTCATGCGCGCCGACGATCAAGTAGCTAAACCGCTTACTTAAAAAAAAAGAAAATGGCGGTAACATTGAAACTAAAGTGTTTTGGTATCCTTTTGTTTTTCGTCTTTTTTGTATTTTGGTCGCGAAAATGAGTGCTAGTGAGTAGAACGATAACAAAAATATAGTAATAGTATATAGTAATAGATAAACATTCAAACACATCATCACAAGTTCAACAGACTACTATTAATGTGCCTGGATATCTATTAATATAATTTGTCAAACATGCTCGGAAATATTTGCATTAGTTTCAAAAAACGAACACGGAAAGTTATTTTGTTAGACGCCTGATAGCATGTGATGGCAGCGATACATAAATTTGTTAATGGTTTTTATTCGCTGTCTTGTGTTCCTTTTTGTAAACTTTTTAATTATGAATAAATAAATAAATAAAATAACATTTTCTTTTAGCAATTATCGTAACACGTCAAATATTACTTTTAATATTTTTTTTTTTACTTTTTCTATTAAACATCTTCCCCTTTTTAGTCTTTTATTATTTCCTCACATTGTTTGAGAAAATTTCTATACATGTCTCGGCGGGAACGGGTGTTGCTTGACTCGTATTAATGCCTCACTGTAAAATAATGGCCACACTGGCGCTCGTCCTTATAACTCATACTCGTCCAGAAATCCCATACCTGTCGACCTCTGCAATAATGTACTATTAGCAAATTTCGTAAAACACTCACTCAGTTGTTTTTTGTAGCGCCACAACAGCACAAACAACATTTTAAGGTGAGTGTGTGTGGTGATCATTCTAGTCCTGCCGAGCTAGCATGTTGCACAAGCGCGACGCGCCTAACGACATTTTCCAGTCTGCCCGTAATCGTCGATAAAGATTAAAGTATTTAAAATTATGTAAAACTTAATTTTACACAATTTTCAAAAATGCTGTAAAACGTGTTAAGCGTAGTTCCAAACCACATTGATATATAATTATGTGTTGATAGGTTTTGTGAAAACAATTTTTGATTTAACAATTACTACGATTTTTTTAAATGATATCAGTGAAAAGAATATTATACTTCATATTCCAAGGTATTAGACTGTATTCATAACTCATTTTACGATTTTCTGTGAGTTAACTTATTTATGC